GCCACCCTGAGTCCCCCCAGGGAAAAGGGCGGCATATAAATAAACTACCTAAACCTAAACCTTTCAATCTTATACTATGTTGTATGGTTTGCAGCGTTGACAATTTAATCCTTACAATTACCTCAGGAACTATAAATACTGTTAGGTATACCGGATGGCCCCTGCAAACCACCTCGCTTTTCACTGGGGATAGGCCTATTGTTAAAAGATGCCTCAGTCATCAAGGCAGCATTACATTTAAGGGAAGAAATGTGAACGTTTATAACTAAGAATTGTGAGAAATATGGCCCATTTTCTCTCTGCATATGCTAAAATTCTACACCCGTGGTTGGAACATGCAAGATTCAAAGAGCACTGCCACAGCAGGGTTTCTCTCACCCTTATCGAATCTATTGCACGCATCCACACCCACATCTCACCTTAGAGGTTGGAATATGAAATACTAGGGAACCCGTAAAATTACTGTAGCACTCACGAATATGAGCTCATATGTACTTATTTTAGGAAAGAAAAAAATACAAAGCAAGCTCTAACTTTATTTTCAAACAATTGCCTGGAATGGCACTGAAAATAGAACAAGAACATTTTTACAGTTAGAACAGCATCCATTTCAAAAGGTACAAAATCTCTATAGAAGATTGCAAATAATCTACAGCTATTACTTGACAATGGTGAACACAAAATTTCCACGTGAATAGTGTCAATGATTTCAAAAACTTTTGATTTGATATCACCACTGTTACAGAAATTCAAATATAACGTAAAAGCCATTTTAAAGGAGATAAATATAATGGCATAATTATAGAGGGAGGTGCAGGATGACACAAATAACTGAAATGTTTCACAGATGCATTGTTGTCTCCAGGCTAAAAACTATCTTTCTTAGCAAGAGTACAGCTTACTGCAATATTCAACAAAATGACTTCTTACATTTTAGTTGTGAGACCGAACTCTGATGTGATGCAAATATATCTTCCTCTTACCAAGTGCTCAGATCACACAGCTGCATCATGCTATTCGATATACCAAGAAATGGCAACACGGGGGAATATTGCAACAAATGCACCCACTTGCTAGGTTAATCGTGAAACACTACCTGGACTTAATTCTATTTCCTTTGGCAGCAGAACATATCCAACAGCTCACTATAAGCAAGGCTTTTATGATTCATCCACAATGTATAATGAGATGTCTACGCAGAAAGAAAATGTTTAAATCTGCAAAACATGGCAATAACCAAGCTGGTAAACCAAGACCATTATCTACAAATTCTAACCTTGACATTTCCTTACAATGTACAAATTATAAATGGATAGAAAACAGCAGCCGCTGTATTTAAAAAAACATATAAAGGAATGGTTTGCCACAGGCCCTGTTTATCTAATACCACTTGCAGAGAGTTGGAGGAGAGCAAGAGATCTGCTGATGCTATTCAACTGGCATGTTATTATTACAATATGAGAAGCTGCGTTATTTTAACAGCTTCCCACATCTACAATTCTGTTTTCAGGCAGTAACCACAGTGCAGTAAAGCAGAGAAAGCATCAACATAGGCATGTGTTTCATGGATTCTTCACTTGCTCTTGGCATTCTAGGTGATAATTATGAGCCAGTTGCAAATGCCCCCATTCTTTTACCTTTCTAGACGATCAACGCTTCATCTGGAAAATGTCAACTCCATAAAGTCACCTGTATTCTTTTGAAGATTACATCAAGAGCAGTGGTCCCCAATCTTTCTGGAACCAGTTTCGTGAAAGTCAATTTTTCCACGGACCGGGATGGGCGGGGTGGTGGTTTCGCACACAACCTAGATCCCACGCATGCACAAATAAAGCTTCTCTCACCCGCTTGCACGGACCGGTTCTTAACTGTCCACGGACCAGTATGCCTGAGGGTTGGGGACCCCTGGTCAAGAGGATAAACGACTCAGAAGATTATGTTTTATTACCATAGAGTATAATCTTTACTATGAACACATTCTTCTAGTTTGCATTCAAATTATTTATCAAACTCCAGAAGAAATATACAAATGTTTATACATACTTTTTGACAGCCACCAATTCATGGCTTCCTGTTTTCTTAGGCATTTACAATTTCACAAGATGCAGCCTGCCCTGTTTGTAATCATTACATGAAAGGTGATTGTTTCCTTTTATCCATCCTAAGACCGTAACCCCAAATAGAAAAAAAAAAAGACTATCATCCACATGTAAAAGAATGACACCTCTAACAATTACTGTACAACCTGTATACTTATTTATTTCAAACTACACATTAAAGGTCAAAAATGGTACATTAGCAGGCAGAAATATGGAAAATCAATGACAGCCTTGCTTTCACAGCAATTCTACGTAGGTGAAGTTAAGCATGGGACTTTTCATCCACAGCCGGCACTCAGATAGTCATGGTGCACTGCAAGAACTGAAAAACAAAAACAAATTTAATATAGTTGGTGGAGGGTCCTTACCATCCTAATCCCCTCATTCCTATTATTTGCATATGATCCAAAATGTATCTATCAAATAATTAAGAATTGAAAGAAATTCTGAAGCTTGTGCTAAATGTTTCAGAGAAAAAATAATTTTGTATAAATGCAAGTTTTACTCATGACTATTTTGATTATATGTTTCAAAGTAAATTGCCACTGTCTAGAGTCCAGGGTTGTATTTTCTTTCTGCTGGCTCTTTTCTGCAGGTTCTTTTTTGTTTTCAGCTGCCTCAGGCTCCTTCCTGGTTCTTCTTTACTGTGGATTCGCCTGCCGACCTGGAGAAACCACTCCCCATCCCATCACCTTTCTGTGGTTTCTTTTCTACTTCTTTCTTTTGAAATCTATTTGCCAGATCGCAGTTGATTCTACGGAGTTTTAAGCTGTTTCTCCCTTTCTCTTAAAGTGCCTACAACTGGGAAGCTGACAGATCACTACCAAGAGGGGAAAAAAACTTTGATCTTGACAGTCGCACGTAACATTTTCTGTTTCAGTGCACTTTATCTTTCTACAAAAGCCGAAGTCAGACAGAGAAAACAGAGCGGTTTCCACGACATGGAAGTACTTATAGGTTCAAAGTCTGTTGATTTTATCAAAAAGAACAAAAGAGATGCTCTGGCGGCGCACATGCACGCGCTTTCCAGTTTGGGCACTTGGTCCCGAAAAGGTTTGCCATCACTTGATATAGTACAATATCCATATTGTACATGTGCTTAATAAAGACAGTAATTGTTAGCTGAAACTATCTAAAGCCTAGGCTAACTAGTTCACTTAAGGGTATGAGGCTGATGCTTCCTCTAAGAACAGACACACTGATTTCCATCTCTGGAGTCTGTTCTTCATGACATTAGTGAAAGTGAATCATGCCCTGATTTAACAGATCTCTGCAAGACAAGGCTGCAAATCTGTTGCTAAGGGTTTTAGGGTCCATCAGTCCATGGATAGGCAGATGGTATATAAATGGAGAAAATCCAATTAACGTTGCTACTCTTCCCAGAATCAATTGTCCAAAACAAATAAAATCAGCTGGAGCAAGGCATATAATTTTCCAAGAGGTGCAAAGAACTCCTGGGTAACAGCAAATTCTTTGCAAACCACTACTGCATTGTCTGAATAAATGAGGGGAAAAGGCCATTAATGGGATAGCAGATATGTATGAGTCTTCTGTCAACATGGAGAATTTGATTGATTTCTCAAAGACAGGACAGTCATCAGACAATTTCTGGAACACATTAGGAGGAATGGGAGAAATGAGGCAGCTAGTTTGCCACCTCTAAAAAGCTGCCTCCCAATTCTTCTAGGAGAGTGGCCTGCCAACTAGAAGAATGATGGCAAAGCAAACAAACTGCATTTATGCCTAGTCAAGAGCTAGGTTTGCACCCACAAGACTGGTATTCATCAAATGGGGCCCTTAGGTTCAGGTTAGGTTTTCTGAAACCAAGCTAACAACTGCAAGTTAAGGAGATTAATAAATAAAGGGAAAAAATAAACAACTATGATAAAAGGGGGAAAAAAACAAGGACTGAAAACCAATGGAAAAATGAGATGGGAGTCACACCATGTTCTGTGGTACAAATGGGGAGGAACAGACCAAAACAATCTGTAAGCTGTGGAAGGTATCAAATGAAATCCTGCATAAGCAAATAAATAATGAACATGAAAAATCAAGAACCCAGTGAAGAATTAAAGGAACTGCCATCTGTTTGAGATCTCAAGAGGAGGTACAGCACTATCTTGAGATGTAATTTCCTAAAATATTCTCGAGTATAATGGGAGTGGGATTATAAAAGGAAATGTAAGAAACACAATTCTAGTTAAAAACATTTTTTTATTACCAATTAACAGTATTGTTACTTACATCATCATACAGAAGATTCACAATGCCCTGTTGCATGCTGTCTCTTCTTCTGAAGAAATCTTTAAAAAAAAGATTTGCAGATTTATATTATAAAAATCCTGAACTTGTCTAGATATACAGACAAAATATCTATGTGGTATATTTTAAAATAGTAAAGCACAACCATAATACATAATGTCCATTATCCATTTATTTTTACAGTCATCAGACAATAGCACATTCTATAAAATCGCCAGCAATACAATGGAATTACACCAGACTCCAAATAAGGCCACTCTATGTAAAATATTTTGCCATGTTCACTGTACTGTAAGGCTAAAGTAATTTAAAGAATAATGTTTGCCATCTTGTCAATAGTACAAATCAAAGCATTGGGACTTTGAAATGAGGCTTGATTTTTAAGTTGACAACTGTTTGAGAGTACTCCCACTTTCAGTAAGAAAAAAGCCTTTGGAATTACACATAATGGCTAAAGAAATTTGTTGCAAGAAGAAAAAAATAGAAGAAATTTTCAAAGCTTCTTCTAGGCAAATATGTTCTACTTATGCAAACTGGTCTATATCCAAGCAGTGAATGCTTGCTTTGTAAAATCAGAATATATTATACAAATCCAGCACTTACCTGTTAAAGCACGAAGCTTCACACAGCAAGCCACATAGTCATCAAAAGAAATTCTGCCATTCTTGCTGTAACGTTTTACAATAGCAATTAAAGTCTGTGGACTTAGTCTGTATCCTAGATAAGTAGTTAGAAAGAAAAACACACTTTCAGGAGAGAAAGCTTAGGAGAATTTTGCCAATATTTGGATATTCATAAATCATTTACAGTAGTCATAACCAATCTGAGATAGAAGTTCAACAAAGATACAGTGAATAAAATGGAGCAAGTTAAGGTAATTTGTTAAGACTACCCCTTAAGAAGAGTACTATATTGCTCTATTGTGCAATTACAAAAGTCTAACTTTCCCAGATGTAGCAAAAGGAATACAATCCATAAATTTCTAACCTAAATTAGATAACTAGCACTAGATTTGAATGCAGAAAACTCTGGCTTACCTGTGTAAGTTAGATTTCTAAATCAGTTTTACTTACCCATAGCTACAATAACTTGAGTCAGCACATGAAATTCCACAGTTCCACTTCGGTCTTGATCAACCAACATGAAATTGTGTTTCCAAGCACTGAGAGCTGTCCAAAGTTCTTTAAATTCATTATAGCCCATTTTTCCAGTATTCTGTCTCTAGCGTTATGTGTTAAGAAGCATACCAGCTTGTGGACAGGTGATTAAAAGAACAAAAAAGATAAATGTTTTACTTGTATGCATTCTGTTACTGTTCTGCACACTTGTGCTCCAATTTTGCTCATGTTTTAAACAGATAAGTCATAAAAATTATTTAGCCCAAAAAACCACACCCCATTTTCTTCTTACTTTGCTCTTTTAGAAAACAATACCTTATCAATCTACACCTTTTAACATTGGTATCTAAGCAATTTTCAAATTAAGCTTGACTTTGGTGCCAATAGCAATACCTCTAATTTTCTTAAGCAATATTATGGAAGCAGTTTGCCACTGTCTTCCCTTAGGATGTATTTTTCAATTCTGGAATTTCACTTACAGTCCTAGGATTCTGTTACAGTCATGCATTTAAGTACTAACCATTCTTGAAAGCATCAAAGGATAGCTTACTGTTGCCACCTGCTGGGCATATATAAATACAGTACAAAAATTATTTGGGGTTCCTACTTGGACTTCAATTGATGACATATATAAGTCCTTCCTTTAAAAGAGGAATTGTAACAACAACAATAACAACAACAACAACCTGGGAATCTATTATTTATGAAGCTGGAAGCAATCTGAATTGGAAAAGAGATTTCCTACATATTTATTTTAAAATCAATGTGAGGTAGCTCAGATCTCACATATGCAGAAATGTATTTAATTATGTAACTTCTAACATTTTACAGAGTCCCTAAAATCAGGATAGACAACATATAGCTTTCAATGTGAACCTAAGCCCTTTTTGCAGCCTATTGTGCCACTGAAGTTTAGCTGAAAAAATTGACTGAATGTGTAACATAATTTCCATTTGTTTTGATAAAATGAGAAAAACAAGTGAGCCCCCTGTAAACTTCATGCATCCATTTGGTAAAAGCCGTAGTCCCGCAAAATTAGAAGGGGTCATAATTTCTAGCCTGACCCCTCTGTATCCCTGTATCATTAATGTGTAAAAACACTAAGACACATTTTCCTACTTTGTTTAGCTCTTTTGACAACTGATAACTGTTTCATGATTGCACTGTAACATGACATTCCTTCTAAGCTGCTTTCTGCATTGTTGTCAGTGGGCTGCAAATAAAAGACTGATCGTAATCTAAAATAGGACAAGTACAAATGAATCTTTAATGGGACCGGTTAAGAATATATGCAACCAGAAAAGCTAGTTGCATATATTTTAATCATTAAATGAACCAATTAAATTTCTTACATGTTCTTTAGTAAAATCAGACGGATCCTGCCATTTCTGTTCCTTTATGTACAGAATTACAGTCTCCATCAGGTGACCTGCACCTCAGGCAACAAATAAAAATTTATTCTAAATTATTTAACCCAAAGTTATTGTTTTAAATTTTATGACACACTGCCCAACTTAGAACTCAATCTGAAGACTGGCATCAGACATACTTTGTCACCTGTAAATCTTGATAAATTTCTAAAACTAGCAATTGTGTTTCCAGCTAAGCAGGATGAAGACAAGGAAGAGACTTTGGAAGGAAGCCTGATGCTTGTTCCTCGTTTGATATTATTCCACTTGCTCTGTGATTCAAACTTTCTTAATACATACTCTCATCTGCATTACATACTGATGTTTTTCAAGAGACACTGATTATGGAACTGGAGAAATAAGCTCCATTAAATTCAGTGGAACTTACTTTAAAAAAAGACATCTGGAAACAGACAATTCAGCTACATATTTAGCTGAATTTAAAAGGATACGTCTAACATCGATATCATAATTCTGCAGGTCTCCAAGCTGAATGCTGAAATTGCAAACAAAGTATTAATTCTAAAGCATCGCATCCATTTCAGTTGTAACCGTTAGTGCTCAAAACAGAAACAGCAAATCTCATTTAAAGGATTACCATTAAAACCTTCTGAATGTAGCAATCAACTTGTTGACAAAAGAGCACCAATTGAAATTTGATTTCTCAGCTGGACTTAAGGCTCTGTTCACACAGTTTTCCTAGATGGAATGGTAGTTAAGAGGGGATAGGCGACATTTGGAAGCCAAGTCAAGAATACTACTACAAGGAGAGCCAGTTACCCTTCATGTATTATACAAAGAGATTAAAATTCACTAGAAGTATTAACAGAGAGGTGAGGTATTCTGTTGCTCAAGAAATAACACTTATAATGTCTGAATATGGCTTCTATCTTTTCCCTATGCTAGACATCCCTCCTTCATCACATTGCACATAATCATCAGCCTAGTTTTTTTTTCTCTTCCCTGTTCCTTCCATTCACCCTATATCTATCATGCTGTGCTTTGCTTTTCATTTGCTCTTTCTGTTTAAAGGAGTGGAGAAGGGATATGTGTTTCTATGCATAAAAGTTGGTATACATAACAGCATGTTTGGTATGTGCAAGTGGAAGATTAATTTTATATTAGTTTAAAGATCTTGTAATGTAATTACAGGAAAATGAATGTAAGGAAAATGTTTAATATTAAATGAATTAACCATGATTAAGTACTGCTGCCAAAGTCATTGGAAGTTGGGTAGCATAACAAATATTGCTTTTGTTCTGAACCTTCCTTTTTTTAAGAATGTGGCTTCCGACAGAGATAAACGTTAACTTATACAAGTAGTTATCGACTTACAACAGTTCATTTAGTGACCCTTCAAAGTTACGGCACTGAAAAAAGTGACCAATAACCACGTTTCACACTTAGGACAGTTGCCACATCACCATGGTCACGTGATCAAAATTCAGCCGCTTGTCAACTGACTCATATTTATGATGGCTGCAATGTCCCGGGGTCATGTGATCCCCTTTTGTGACCTTATGATAAGTAAAGTCAATGGGGAAGCCACATTCACTTAACAACCATGTTATTAACAACTGCAGTGATTTTCACTTAACAACTGTGGCAAGAAAGGTCGTAAAATGGGGTAAAACTCACTTAACAACTGACTTGCTTAGCAACAGAAATTTTGTGCCCCATTGTGGTCGCAGATCAAGGACTATCTATATAGATACATGCGCACATATATAAGTGTATCATATGACCTAATTAAGAGGCCATGTTCAAGAATAATTTCAATTATTGCTGGTAATCTTAGATTAGCAAAGGAACAAAACCAGTACTTTTTTTTGCTTGTCTGTTTTCCTTTTGATGGGAAAGTTCAACTTGAATTCACTATCATCTTTCTTTTACTACATGCAGTCAGTAAACAACAAATGAACTAAGAGGCAATATGTAAAAAAATGAGGAATGAGCAACACAGGTTACATAGAGAACTTAGATTAATTTTTATAACTTTGAGAGGATCCTCCACCTGCCTTTATAAATAAGCATACTAATTTATTTTCAACAGAGGTTAAAAATATGTGTGCACCTTCTCTCTTCAATGCATTTCAAAACTAGGGGGAAATTATTCCACTATTTGGATCCTGCTTGACTTGGGGACATCATTGAGTTGTCACTGGCAAAACATCTGAAGGTAAATCTATCAAATTATCCCCAAATATGGTCTCTGGAGACAAAAATTGAGTTCTCCATTACAGATGAAAAAAGGATCACAAAACAATCAGTGAAGGTAAAGGTTCCCCCGGATATGTGTGCTAGTCATTCCTGACTCTAGGGGGCGGTGCTTATCTCTGTTTCTAAACTGAAGAGCCAGCGTTGTCCGAAGACGTCTCTGTGGTCATGTGGCTGGCGTGACTAAACGCCGAAGGCACATGGAGCACTGTTAACTTCTCACCAAAGGTGGTTCCTATTTTTCTACTTACATTTTTACATGCTTTGGAACTACTAGGTTGGCAGAAGCTAGGACAAGTAATGGGAGTTCATTCTGTTACGTGACAATAGGAATTAAAACTGCTGAACTGCTGACCTTTCTGATGGACAAGCTCAGCGTCTGAGCCATTGTGTCCAGACAAAACAATTACAGGTACAGAATAATAAATGTAATGACAATCTTACGAGAATATGTTCCACTGATTCCAGATTGTGTTAGACATCTCTGGAGTTCTTCTGCATCCACTTCACCATTCTGTAAAATGAATGCGTACAAATTTGAGGTTCAAGGGATTAGCAAAACTGGTAATAGAAAATCAAGTATTCATGCATTCTATACAATTAACATACTTCACAAATGTATTTCAACTATATATTTGCTATACTAGTTATTTTACATAAGTAAATCACAAGGGACATGTTTTCAAAATCACAAAATAAACTATAACTTCCTCATTTGTGACATCTTACAAATAGGACAGATCATAAAAATTAGTTTTCACAAATGTTGAACTTAAAAAAAAACTGTTTTATGTGCAAGCTTTACAAATTATGAGACAAACCATTTAAAATAAACAAAAAACTTCTCTCCCTATTTCTTCATTCCAGGCACATCCTACAGAGTTTCTCAGGTTAGTTCAAATCCAGCTCTATACAAAAATATACAAATCCAACAATTCATAAGCTTAAAGTTAAATCCATATCCAATTATAAAATACAAACATAAAGCTCATCCAAACAAAATAATCTCTATAATGAAAGCCTTTAAATTAATTTGTCAAGCTACCTCGATATCCATGTCAATTTGCTATCTGTTTGAGCAACTGCAAATTCTCACATGGGAGAATATTCATTCAAAAAGACATGAAATGCAGCCTTTCAGCTACCGTGCCATTGCATTATGATGCATTATCTTGCTAAAATGACAAAAAAGGCTTCTTAAAATATATTACAACATAAAAGTGAGCAATCTAAATATACCTTATTAACCTCCAAGTTAATTTTGCAGCAATGATTTAAAAAAAAATTGTGAGCTTTGCCAATGAAAGCACAAGGAATGGTGGATATTGAAAATCCTGTTGCTTGATTTGGCCTTAAGCAAAATTCCTTAATCTAACATGAGAATCATGTATAGACTTCTCAGAGGTTTCCCAGAAGTATTTTTCCAAACTGAACGGGCATATCATTTTCCCGGCTAGTTAAAAAAAATAGGATCATGCTGATATAAAGTTCTCCATAGAAAGAAAGAAAATATTACTCATATTGACAAAAATTCAGTACGTATTCAGTACATATTTTCTACTAGACCTATGTAATTAAGGGTATTGTTCATAATGATTGTACAAAACACAAACATACTTTTGCATTTACCACCAAAGCAAAAGGATTTTCACTGGATAAGTTCACAGGGCACAAGGAAAAGATTAAATGAATCTTGATTTCGACATTTCTGAGTCTCATCATCAGTTCATAATGCAAGAACACTCAGAAACTGTTTCACTGCCTTTCTTTACCCTCCCCTCCAAAAACAATGCCCATGTTACTGCAAGTTTCTACCTGATCAGTTCTTTTGATTGTCAAAGGCCCACGCTTCCATCACCCCACTGGTCTTGCTATATGGCAGATGACATTGTGCTTATTTGACTGGTACTTCAGGAGTGAATGTTTATTCCTCCTATAAAAAACTAAATTTACTAAAATATTACAGTTGAGAATTAAGAAAAATATGGAAGTCAGCAATGACGATCCTACTTATGAAAAACTAAAAACACAGAAAAACTCCCTGTTCCAGATAGCTACTTTAGAGCAGTGGTTTTCAAACTATGTTCTGGAAAACTCCCGAATTCCTTAGAAACTGATCATGTAATCTTCAATATAATCAGTCACATTATTCCTTCCACGAACCCACCCCCCAAAAATATAGGTTACTGTACTATCTATGCTATTAAACTTCTCCTCTAGAACTGTAGAAGAAGTTGCAATAGAACGCTGGGGTTATTCTCTAGGCTATGCTCTGTTCAATTGTCAGCATTTTACATCTGAGGATGTTAGGCTACATTACACAGATCTTGCAATTGTGCTTAGAATGCCAGCCCATTTATTCAAAACCATATAGGTTGATCCTGAGAATATGTTATTCCAGAACACACTGCACAATCCTTTGCTATGCAGTTGAATTCTACAGCCGATATATAGCATGTTCAGCAAAGAAAAACTTCTCTCAAGATACAGAGATTGAAAACCCTGCTGTAAAGCAATGAAAAAAAATGAAAAAGCAATGGTATTTCATGTTTTCCTCACTTGCAAAAATTGATCACCTAGTACAGGTAGTCCTCGACGTACAATCATTCATTTAGCGACCGTTCAAAGTTACAACGGCAATGAAAAGAGTGACTTATGACCATTTTTCATAGTCACAACCTTTGCAGCATCCCCAAGATCATGTGATCAAAATTCAGATGCTTGGCAATTGGTTCATACTTATGACGGTTGCAGTGTCTCGGGGTCATGTAACCTTTTGCAACCTTCTGACAAGCAGAGTCAATGGGGAAACCAGACTCACTTAACAACTAGGTTACCCATTTAACAATTGCACCGATTCATTTAACAACTATGGCAAGAAAGTTTGTAAAATGGGGCAAAACTCACTTAACCAATGTCTCACTTAACAAAAGAAATTTTGAGCTTGTTTGTGGCCGTAAGTCGAGGATTACATGTAGATTTTAGTTGCAGTCAATATTTGAGATGAAAAAGTACTAAATATGATTAAGAACTCTGTGCACTATGTAAACTGTTTTGTATCTATTTTTAGATATCTATTTTTACAACTATTATTATACTACCTAGTATATGCCTATACTAACTTATTTTGGGTAGTAATCTTTTTAAAAACATGTATACGCTATTCCTTATAATTCCAAGAAATTATACTGCTTGGAAAATTATCTCTTCCACCCAAAACCCTATTCTTCTTGGGGTCTTAGTAGCTCACACTATCAACTCCATTTTGGCTATTCTTTGCTAAGTCTGTCGTAACAACTTCAAATGAAAGTCACAAGATTGAATTTTGAACCATGCCCAAAAGAGTTTAGTGGAATTTAGCGAAATGCTGAGAATGAGAACATTAAAAAAATTACTGCATTTCATTTACAACTATAACAAAGAAATCTGCTTTATGAAGTAGTTGGTCACCTTTCTAGACAAAATGTGTGGTTCATTCCCTGCCTGTAGAGAAAAGAAGCAATTAATTGACCCACACTTGTACTGGATACTATTTCAAGCAGTTGCTGCTCTAATGAAACAAATGTTGTTCTGAAATGCCTTTCTTGTTATTCCTGTCCTGTATCAGAAGGCAGTCTACAGGGAAAGCAAACACTGTGCCATACTTTCACAGTTAAAACTCATTTCTTCTTCCATGAAAATGTTAGTAAGGACAGCATTTTACAATTGAAATTAGGCGTTTATCTGAGAATGAATATCCAATGTGGCCACTCTTTTTATCTTTAGGCACTCATCAACAGAATCTATTTTTAGGTTAGAGAATATCCTGGCATCTATTTCCTTTCAGAATTTAATCACAAGTAAGAGACAATCCTAGCTTCCAAAAGCGTCATACTCTTTAATTGTTGAACTTCATGTATTTTCCAGCTTTCCACAATATAAATTTACTTTGCCAGCATAAGCTTAGAATCACATTCACATAAGCTTAGAGACTTAAATAACTGTCACCATTCTGGCAATAAATAACTTTACCTCCATAAGCTCCCTGACTATCAGAGAGCAAACAGAATTTAGAACTGGCTGAAATGAATGCTTACTGTTCTTGTCAATAAGCAACTAAAATGGATCAAAGAATATCCTACACAAAAAAATCTATTTTAATAGAAAGTACCATTAAATCCGTTCAAATTAGCTCAGTATTAAAAAAAACTCTCTGTGGGTGATAAAACGTTCAGGGTCAAAGGAGACTATTTAAGAAGGCAGTTCTTACACGGTCCCTGCCTCAGGTCACAGGTAATTTCTCTCTTATCAACTTCTCCAATGGAATATAGCATCAAATGGGTTGTGCCAGAGATATGAATTCTTTTACTGCTAGAAATACAATATTACTATTGCTTTTATTGTGGAGGCGCTAACTGATTTGTTAAGAAAATGCCTTACTACTACTGTAAGGCATTCTTTGTAAAGAGTATAAAAAATAAAATGCAAGCAGAAGAATAAATGTAATGAAAAGCTACTCACCTGAAACTGGAGTTCTTCATGAATATTGCTTTTGCAGTTCCACACTCTTGAGAGAATGCAAATTGGCATCATAACTCCCAAAACGCTCTAGAGACCAATGACCTGTGGGGCCATGCATATGCCCTTTGGTGAATCTTTACTATAACCTTTTAACCAGTCCTTTCGCCCAGATTATACAGATATGGCTTCTGTATTTCTCAATACCTAGTCACATATAATGTACAGACCTCTTCCAAACTGAAACTGGATGGACATTCACTTAAACACCGATTCACTAAGTTTTTATTATATAAACTTTGATGTACTGTAGCTATTCTAGGTTGCCAGATAGCCCTACAAATAAAATTGGCTGAAGATCATAGTCCAATTAATGAGGTCAAAAATCAAATTTACAGTAGCCCCCCCATTCCTCTTACACAGAAAGTACAATGTTACCATAGGAAGGTAGCTTTATATTGCCTGCCTTTATCTACATTTAAAAGTAGATTATGGATTCCATGCAAAAAAAAAGATTAGTTGAAGGTGAATTTCTCCATTCTTCCTCTCAGTCCAGCTGGATATTATGTTGGTCACAAATGGGGAAAAAGTTATTTCCTTTTCTGCTATTGAGCTGTTTAATACCTATAAAACTTTAGAAACAAGCCTAAAAAGCTAGCAATCTACATGGTAGTAGCTGTAGATGAAAAGCTATCTTGTGCTCTATGGCCAGTCATATTAAAAAATTACAGGCAAGCAATTCTATAGGGTCATCTATAAGGGTGCAATACCAATAATACTGTCAATATATCCATTGCCAAACAAAACTCTTGAAATGATGGGATATTTCTAACCCTGATCAGCAGGAAAAAAAGTGACTGTCTTTCAAAACTTTAGAATTACTTAAACTGACCTACCTGTCCAGCAGTAGCACTGAAGAATGCCCACAAGGGATCAACAGCAGCACCAGCATAGGCACCAGAATAAACAGAATATCCAGTAGATCCATCATGGGCTACAGCAGTTTGTACCCCTCTAGGGACCGGTTGTCCCACTGCCATTTGCATTGGCATCTGACCATGGTAAGCACCATACTTTTAACAAAAAGAAGAGATATATTTTACTATGTTCATCAGCCTAGCACAAAGCATGTATGCACACATACCCCAACTTTGCGAAAACACCCTCTCAAATATAACATAAAAATATCAGTTTTTAAATATTCAAAATCCAGTGAAGCATGCTTGAAAGCTATGTTTCATTACTATGTAACTAATATATTATATTGGTTACATAATAATAAAACATAGCTTTCACAATACAGTTAGTCCTCACTTAATGATATTCCTGTTTATCAATCATTCTAAATTAGGACAACACTGAAAAAGTAACTTTATGACCAGTCCAGGTACTTACAATCATTGCAAAATTTCTGCAGTCATGCTATTGAGATTTGAACATTTCATAACCAGCAGATATTTACAACTGTTGCAGTGTCCTATAGTCACATGTTCACATTTGTGTATTTCACAACCAGCTTGCAACAAGCAAAGTCAATGGGGGAAACTGAGTTCATTTAACAGCTGCCTTGCTTAGCAATGGAAATTTTGAGCTCAATTGTGGTCGTAAGTCAAGGACTACCCATATTTGCCAATAGATAAAACCAAAGACTCTTTATTCCATATCTTTTAAATATTAGAGAAGGTGTTAGGCTATTGAAAATGCTTATACTTGTCTTGAAAAAAGGGAGAGTGAATATTTCTATTTTTTTCTTTATATACAGCACATTCGGAAAGTATCTAGACTTCCTTCACTTTTGTCAATTATGTTATGCTACAGCCTGATTCTACAGTTTTTGAAATTCATTTTCCCCCTCAATATTCTACACTCAGTACCCCACAATGACAAAGTGAAAACAGAATTTTAGAAATCTCTGTAAATTTATCAAAAGGAACTGAAATATCACATCGGCATAAGAATTCAAACTGTTTGCCTCACAGTTCTCTTGGTCATTGTTGAACATGTTTCTACACCTTGATTGGAGTCTAGCTATAAATTAAATTGATTGGACATGATTTGAAAAGGCACACATACATCTCTCTATAGAAGGCCTCACATCTGATAAAGGCAGACTGTAGCAGGGCAAAAACCATGAGGCCAAAGGAACTGCCTGCTTCAGAGACAGGATTATTGCAAGCCACAGTAAGCAAGCCATAATTCTCAAATGGAAGAGGTTTGGCACAACCAGGACTCTTCCAAGAGCTGGTTGCCCTGTCAAACTGAGCAATTGGGGGAGAAGGGCCTTAGTAAAAGAGATGACCAAGAATCCGATGGTCACTCTGACTGAGCTCCCAAGATCCTGTGTGGAGATGAGACAGAGTTCCAGAAGGACAACCATCACTGCGGCCCTCCACCAATTTGGGCAGAGTGACTCGAGGGAAGCCTCTTCTAAGTGCAATACACATGAAAGCCCACTTGGAGTTTGCAAAAAAAAAAAAAAAGCACCTTAGGACTCCCAGACTGTGAGAAACAAGATTCTCTGGTCTGATGAAACCAACATTGAACTGTTTGGCCTCAATTCTAAATTTTATGTCTGGAGGAAACCTGCCGAATATCATCCTAATAGTGAAGCATGATGGTGGCAGCACCATGCCATGGGGGCACTTTTCAGAAGCAGTTACTGGGAGACTGGTCAGGGTTGAGGGAAAGCTGAATACAGCAAAGTACAAGGATATCCCCAATGAAAACTTGTTTTATGGCACTCAGAAACTCATACTGGGCCAAAGGTTCACTTTCCAACATGACAACGATCCTAAGCACACAGCCAAGATAACACAGGAGTGCCTTAAAGACAATTCTGTGAATGTGCTAGAGTGGTCCAGCCAGAACCCTGACTTGAACCCTAGTGAATATATCTCGAAGGACCTGAAAATGGCTGTCCACCGATGTTCACCATCCAACCTGACTGAGCTTGCAAGGATGTGCAAGGCAGAATTGCAGAAAATCCCCCAATCCAGATGTGCAAAGCTTGTTGCATCATATTCAAAAATTCTTGAGACTGTAATTGCTGCCAAAGGTGCTTCAACAAAGTATTGAGTGAAGGGTCTGAATACTTATGCCAATGTGATATTTCAGGTTTTTTTAAGAAACTTTCAGAAATTTATAAAATTCTGTTTTTACTTTGTCATTATGGGATAGTGAGTATAGATTAATGAGAAAAAATGAATTTCAACAACTGTAGAATCAGGCTGCAGCATAACAAAATTGACAAAAATGAAAGGTATCTGAATACTTTCTGAATGCACTGTATTTTCCCCCTTTTGCTATCCTTCTCTTTTTTTTTCCTTTTTGCATTTTCTTTTTTTTCTTGTTTATATTTTGTATCTTTGTATTATTAAAAAAATCTTAAATATTAAAACTCTTAAATGATCAGTGTAATAACAACAAATTTTCTTCCCATTTCAATGTAGGATAAAACCTGTTTTCCCTGTTTCAGGAAACAAGTCTTAATGTATTTAATATATTAAGAATAATACGTTAAAATATGTTTAAAATATACAAATAAAGCTGTACTAACCCTGTTCCTTCATTTAACATTAGATCAATACCCAGAGGATACAACATGTGGCAGCAAATTACCAACATAACTATAAAAAAGCTGAACAGGGCCATATCAAGTAAATGCTTGGATAGAAGACCACTCAGAAATCCCAGAGTTATAAGCTAGATTGGGAACTTGATAAAATATCTCAGAAAATAATAACTACAAATCCTATCGTTCTCCTACCAAGAAAACTGCATGGATTTGTTACCTTGACTCAAAAATACTTCCATTGTTTTCCTTAGTATATAATCAGTTTCCTATATTATTACTTTCTTCGTTAAATTAAGAGTTCCGTACCACCAAATAATTTTGGTAAATGGCAAATTGCTTCCATATTGCTGGTGTCAAGGGAACAACACAGATATGTTGACAAACTCAAAATGGGTTTGTTAGAAGCCTTAGAAATGAGGCAGAAAAATTGTCTGGAATATTGTAGAAACACATCACCTCACCTTCTCACCTTTCTACTTCTATTGGTATGTTATGACTATAAATTTGTTAGTTATACAGGTAGTCCTTGACGTAGGACCACAATTGAGCCCAAAATTGTTAAGTGAAACATTTAAGTCAGTTTTGCCCCGTTATGACCTTTCTTGCAACAATTAAGTGAATCATTGCAGCTGTTGAGTTAATAATCTAGTTGTTAAATGAATCTGGCTTCCCCATTGACTTTGCTTGTGAGGTCACAAAAGGGGATCACATGACCTTGGGACACAACAATGGTCATAAGTATGGACCAGTTACCAAGCATCTGAATTTTGATCACATAATGATGGGGATGCTGCAAAGGAAAAATGGTTGTACATCACGTTTTTCAGTGCCGTTGTAATTTTGAACAGTCACTAAACAAACTGTTTTAAGTTGAGGGCTACCTGTATCTTATGATTTATCACTTCGTTGCTTGTATGTATACTGAAGCTTATGCTTTGCAGACAAATTCCTTGTGGGTACACGCTGGGCCAATAAAGAATATTCTAATAGGCACAGAAGCGTTTTTTAAAAGGTTATTTCCTAGGATAAAAATGAAGAGGATCATGCAGGTACTCTTATGACCATAATGGAGTCCAAAATTTATGTTACTAAGTGAGAAATTAGTTAAGGGGGTTTTGCCCCATGTTACGATCTTTCTTGCCATAGTTGTTAAGTGAATTCACCACAGTTATTAAGTGAATCTGGCTTCACCATCGACTTTGCTTATCAGAAAGTGTCAAAAGGCAATCTCACATGACCCTGGAATGCTGCAACCATCATAAATGTGAGTCAGTCGTCCAGCCTCCAAATGTAAATCACGTGCCCACATGAAAAACAGGTTGTAAGTCACTTTTTTCCAGTGCTGTCGTAACTTTGAATGGTCACTAAATGAACTGTTGTTAAGTCAAGGTACTACCCAGATAACTCCTTAACTTGCTTAACTCCATTACCTTTTACACTGTAATGGAGGAAGATACACGTTTGAACATTCTTCATTGTTAAGTTTGGTCGCTAAGCGAACCGTTATAAGTTGAGGACCATTGGATGAGGATATAATTAGGAAAATTTGGGACTGTGCCGAAATGGATAGATTAACCTTAAAAATTAAAGATAAAGAAGACTCAAAATGTTACTGGACGTGGAATAAATTTTATGAATGGATAGAGACAAGGGGTAGAAGAAATGAGAGAGAAAATAAGTTTACAAATGTCAATAATTGTTAGCATGGAAAATAAAGATGCATAAAACTATGACTATAGTAAGGGGAAAATTGTAAATCGGCTAATGTAAGTAGAAATTTAGTTAAAGATCTTTTTCTTTACTCTTTTTGGTCATACTACAATAATTACTATTATATTATTGTTATAGTTACTAGTTTGTGTGTTATGATTTACTACTAACTTTTCATTGGCTTTGCTTTATATGTAATTATTATCCTGACATGTCACTGTCTTTTCAATTAAAATACAAAAAAGAACATCCTTTTTTGTTAAGTTTGGCCACTCAGCAAAACCGTTATAAATCGAGGACCACCTGTGCAGCCTATGTATATACGGTATCTGCAATTTACTCCCAACCTAGTCACCTCCTGCAACCCTACTGGGTGGAAAATGATATTGTAAGTCCATTCCCTTTGTAGGCCGCCATAACATCTCCCAGTCAAAGAGGGGGGGGGGGGGGGAGAAAAGAAGCACCGGTCGGGTTTGTGGGGAAGAAGGAAGACATTTTATAGAACCTGGAGTCTCTGAGGGCGAGGGAACCCAAGCGAGGAGACCCACCAACAAAAGGCGAGAAAGCGAAAATGGCTTTTGAAACCCAAAGACGGGCAACCAGCCTTCCAAACTAAGTACGGAAAGAAGCAGCAGCAGCAGCAGCTCGGCGGGCTCCGCGCCTTCCCGTTTGCCTTACTCACCGCTCCAAACGCCGGATACGTCATGCCGAATCTGCGAGAGACGAACCGTTAAAAAACGGTCACAGCCGACTTCGAAGCTCGGCGGGGGTTCTAAATCCGCCACAAACGCCTCTTAAGTTTCCCCCCCAAAAGGCCGCAGTCGCCGCCTTCTCTTTCCTTGAGTCGCTCTACTAAGAGGCGGGACTTCCTTTCCCCCCCGCTAGCCCTCTTGTATCGCCTTCCTCTATTGGATAAGGCCGTCACCCACTTCCTGCTCGGGGCCGTTTCGCAAGATGAGGAAGGGGGGAGAGCGGAAGAGGTGTATATGGTGGGGGAGGGGGAAGGAGTTAAGAAGGAAGTCCCGCCTACTCCGGAAATGATCGTTGAGGAAAAAGAGGAAGGCGCGGTTGTAGTTTCGGAAAAGAGCGGAAGTCAGCGTGGCCGTATTCTCCTTATAAGGCAGCGGCGCAGTGTGTATTTCCTTGATAAAGAGATTATGCGAGAAAGTTAAGTCGGCTATCGAAATCAATGATACCAACGAAAGAGATGAATGACGGATGTCAGTTTTTTTGACAATAGTATTGCTTGTGCTGAGTACCTATTATTTTGTAAACGATTGACAAATCAAAAAAATAAATAAATAATCGTTCCTATAAATAATCGTTCCTCTATTGGGGGAATAGTTTCCTTGCAGGAGTTTCCTGAGTATTCTCTATCTGAAAATGGATGGATGGATCCTTTTTAAAAAAATGTTTATGATGAACTGAAAAGTCCACTTTACTTTCGGCCAACAAAGTATTACTCTTGATATCTCAAAAATTTTATTCTTCCATTTTGATTTTGTTTCATTGCTTCAATTCATGTAATACGTGCACTTTTGAAAGTCAAACCAAATACTGAGATGATATAGATCCGTGCCTAGTTCTTTTTTGTATTATCAACCACTGTTTCGCCACTTTTGGTTATTGCTGTAAGGACTTTGATGCTCTTGTTCACTGTAAAGATTCTTTTTTAAAAATCAGTATACTTGCACACTGATTAACTAGTTTGAATCATACTGTAGGAAGTTAAAACCCACCCCTCTCCTAGAAAAGTGAAATATCCTGGGAAATATTGAAAAGGCAGAATATTATATTTCCCTGGATAAGAAATGGAGGAACATGTTTTTAGACAGGAAACAGACTCACTCTTAATAGCCCCCATCTTTGTCAATGAGTCATTAAAGCCTGAGATACTCTACATAACAAAGTATGATTAACCCTCTACAGAAACTGACCACAAGGCCCCTGGTAAAATTACATCAGCCAGCAAGACAACCAAACTTGGATTCAAAGCACAGCCTACAGCAGTGATGGCGAACCTATGAC